GATGTGGGGCTCGATCCCAGGACCCCGGGATCATGACCCGAGCCGAAGGCAGAGGCTTTAACCCACTGAGCCACCCAGGCGCCCCCTCAGTTACAGAATTTTAAAGAATTCTGAACTGCTATCCCTCCAGAGATACTGATTATCAGCACTAAAAGTGATTTTAAAAGCGAAAAAGTCGTATTACGCTTTAAATCAAATGTTTATCAAATATTTATTTTGTATAGTGCTTAGAAGGACCCAAAGATAATATAAGCAAAAGAATTGTTCATTAATTCTTTTTAATTCTTTTTAAATATATCTCATATGTTAATTCTTCTCATATTTCTTTTACTATATTTTGAGGACACCCAAATACTCTGAAACAAACATTTTTAGAGTAATGTATGCAGATTTTATTTAATTATCCATATTAACATATTAAAAAGACCTCCTGAGGCAAGAAAGTTTTCCTCTACATTTAACTCTGCAAAGCTTTATTTCTGAAAGAACACTCTGCCGTGGTGATTAACACCACACCAACTAGATATGATCGGTTTATGTCTGATTCAGCCATTTATTATGATTCTATGAATTTCTTTTTACAGAGCACAGGACTCTTTTCTCCTGAAAGAAGAAATGCTTTCTTCCATGTCCAACGCTGTGAAGAAAGAGAAAGACGGTAAGAGATGTCATGAAATCAGGCTAGAAACCTGAGTGGCAAAGAGATCAAGGAACAGAGAGTTAGGTAGATGATAGATGGTAGACAGATAAGATGAGATATGAAGGTCACTGACACATGACAGATAAGACAGATATATAGAAGTGACAGATCAATAGATCGATAGCTAAAAGAGACACATGGATGAAAGGTTGATTAGAGATACGGAGATAGACTGATCAATCATTAGAGAGATGAGATGGCTGATAAGACGATGGAGGTAATAGAAGAAAGTGACACAGAAAGTAAATGGATAGATAAATATAAACTATAGGCAGACGGATGGATAGACAAATGGATAGAAGAGCGAGATACATGGAGACAAGCAGGAATCAGAGGAGAAGCACAGGACAGGAAGAGCAGAAACGCAACTACACTTTGATGCCTGTTCGTCAGACCTCCAAGCAAAGAGCACGAGGCAGCAGCAGGAAGGCCGGCTTCCGACCAACAGCAGGTTAGTGTGCAGTCCCGAGCGGCCCCACACAGGTGCTCTTCCGAGCCGTGACAGGTGCTCTTCCGAGCCGTGCTCATGCGGAACACATTAATGTTGCCATTTGAAATCCCTACTAAAATTAGTGATACAGTTATTATAAGCTATTATAAAAGGCTACTCTTTCAAATTGCAGTGTTTATGTGAATACATTATTTTAGTAGTTGTCTTCGAGACATGTGTGGGGGTTGATACCTGTTGCAAACCAGGATCAATACTGCACATGAAACTTAGGACCTGAGCATGGTTTTATTTCATTTTTTTCCTGTCTCATGGGTCTGTTTATAAGTGACCATGGTCCAATGAGAAGAGAATAAAAGCCCTGAGACCGGCAGGTTCATTCCCACCACCTTCCTGACACGTACCTAGGCCTGCCTCATGCAGCATCCTGCAGTGAAGGGATGATAACCCACTAATGCCTGAGGGTCATGCTTGGGCACCTCGTAATGAGTCACACACAGGGGGTCTCACTACGTAACTGTGCTTTCATTAGGGGTGTAGAAATCGCCATTTTGTGGTTTTGTCAAGCCAACGCAAAGAGTAACAGAGAGCCTTTTTTCAGTGTTTAGCCTCAACAATCAGCCAGAGCCTGTTGTCAAAGGATAATCTCTACTCCATGCTGTTAATGCTCCATGAAAACAAAATGTACACCCAGTCTTGGGCCAAGAACCTAGAGTGTGTCAGACAATGTGGCAGTCTGTAAATATTCTACCTGGTGTTAAAACACAAATTCACATTTGTAATGAAACTTGCCATCATTTCTCCATCAGGGATGGGCAGAGATCCAAGTGAAAAATAATGTTAAGTAAATGCATTTTTTAAAGATTTTATTTCTTTACTTGAGAGTTAAGAAAGAGAGTGCATGCCTGGGAGAGCAGGGCAGAGGGACAGGGAGAAGCAGGCTCCCTGCTGAGCAGAGAGATGGACACGGGCTCAATCCCAGGACCGAGGGATGACTTGAGCCAAAGGCAGATACTTAACCCACTAAGCCACCCAGGCATCCCCAAGTAAATACATTTTTAAATAAAAACAATCTGAAGGGTTTGAAGAGGTGGGGGGGTGGGGGGGTGGGAGGTTGGGGGAACCAGGTGGAGGGTATTAGAGAGGGCACGGATTGCATGGAGCACTGGGTGTGGGACAAAAACAATGAATACTGTTATGTTGAAAATAAATTTTAAAAAATTATTAAAAAATAAAATAAAAAAAAACTGGATATATGTAAGGTGTGCACCATGATTTGATGCACACATACATTACTGCATTCAAATTAACTGGTTTCTTCACACAGTTGCCATTTTTTCAGTGTGGTGATAATCTGTGCTCTTAGCAAAATTCCAGTTCCCAGTACATCATTAACTGTAACCACCTGGATCTCTCCACTTACTTGTCTTGCGTAACTAGGACTCTGGACCGTTGACCAGCATCTCCCTGTTTCCCCCACTCCCTGCATCAACCTACTCGTTGATACATGTATTTGACTTTTTTAGATCCCACAGAAAAAGAAATAATACATTTTTTTCTTTATAGATCTGTCTCACTAAGCATAATGTTTTGGAGGTTCATCAGTAACTGTTACAAATGGAAGTTATCTCCTATTTCACAGCTGACTAATATTCCTGTATGCGTGTGTGTGTATACAAAAATACACACACCTTTATGCATCATTGTCGATGGGCGCTTGGGTTGTTCTCACTCTCTTGGCTACTGTGACTATTAATAATGCTCAGATATATTTGGGATTGTGAGTGACTCAGTGACCAAAGTGGTTTCTTCGGTTCCTTAAACACAGGCATGCCCTGACCTGGTTCCCTGCAGAAGGCTGCCCTATATTCACGTCTCTACATGATGCTGCCCCTCGGTGGTGCCTGCCCTGCTCATTCTGTCCAAAGAAAACCTTCTCTGCCAACACTGCCTATTCCCTTCACGTGTTTCAGCTGTTGGAACTTCACCTGTTCTGTTTGTGCCCCACACCCTTCCACGGCTGAGTGCCACGAGGGCAGACGCTGTGCTGGAACTTACTGAATGTCTGCTCTGTCCAGGCCACGATGCTCGGAATTAAAACAAAGACGAGACTGGCAAAGTTCTGGCCTTCAAAACAACTTAAAAGTCTACAAGGGGGTATTTTGAGAAACGGAGTAATTACAAAACTCTTAACTGTCACAAATAAAGACTCCTTAACAGATAAAATAAGAAGGAAAAAGAAAAACAAAGAAGGACAAAGTTTGAGACTTCAAAAAATTCAAAACCCACGAGGTATATTTTGATAAATACAGAATAATTACAGAATTTAACATTTACAAGTAAAAATTTCTTAATGACAATAGATGAAATCGTTTATTTTTTCACCTTCAAACAGGATCTCAGGCCTGAGAGAAAGAGATGATGCTCCGTATAGACTTTGGAGCAATTTTTAAAATATATTTTTGGCGTTTTGTAATATTTTCTATTTTTAACCAATTCTAAACATCTCACTGTTGTAAGAGAGTTGGTCTGAGTAAATCCTCATTACAAACTTCTTTTTGTATCATCAAGAATATCAAAATCCCTATAGACTCTATGAAAATAAAACACTACCTTCTGTTTAAACATTTCTAAATCAGGTACTTCTAAAAATACAGAGAACACTTGTTTCTCCACCTTCGTAAAAGGAATGTAAAACAATATCTATAAAATAGATCCTGGGGTGAGGTTATTCCAGTATGTTTATCTTCTGGGAACAATCAAAAACATTTAAGTATTAATTCCCTACATGGTTCTTCCATATCTCTCCTTCTCTGTGCTCCCAATTGTTCATTAATTTTTCATTTATTCATATATTCAAGGCAAATTAATGTGCCAGCACTCTATCATGAACAGGCTTTGTCCAAATCTTTTCATTTGTATAAGTACATTTTAAACACACGGCTACCACCACTCAGACTAGTGGTGTGCTTATCAACAAACGGTCTTCTTAAAAGAGCGAGGTACTAAATCAATTGTCCCTAATGCTAAGTTTTATCAGTACGAAAACACATTTCAAGACAAAACGGAAGCATTTAAATTGGGCACCATGCGCTGTTGTACAGCATTAGAAATGGTGGGGAGAGGGCTGGAAAGATACCTCATTTCTCTTTCCTGATTTCGTGTCCCTCTTCTGACCCCAGGCTGGACGTACACGGCAGTGGCTCACTAAACGATCCAAGAACCGTTCACGCCGAGTGACCCTTTCTACCTGTGTGTCTGCGTACAGGAGCACAGCTATCCCACCATCTACACTATGTCTATGAATCCCTAATTCCCCTGCATTGTAGAAATGAATTATGTGCTTTCCTGCGAAGGATCGTTGAGTAAATTAAAGCAGAAACAGTGATTTATGGTGAATTTTTAATAAATTTGTGTTATCTTTGTTTT